GGAAGAAAGGAAAGGAAAGATGGAAAGGGAAGGGAAGGAAGATAGAAGAAAGGAAAGGAAGATAGAAAGGGAGAGAGGGAGGGAGGAAAGGAAGGGGAAAGATGGAAGAAAGGAAAGGAAAGATGGAAAGGGAAGGGAAGGAAGATAGAAGAAAGGAAAGGAAGATAGAAGTAATGGAAGGAAAAGAAAAGAAAGGGAGATAGAAAGGGAGAGAGGGAGGGAGGAAAGGAAGGGGAAAGATGGAAGAAAGGAAAGGAAAGATGGAAAGGGAAGGAAAGGAAGATAGAAGAAAGGAAAGGAAGATAGAAGGAATGGAAGGAAAAGAAAAGAAAGGGAGATAGAAAGGGAGAGAGGGAGGGAGGAAAGGAAGGGGAAAGATGGAAGAAAGGAAAGGAAAGATGGAAAGGGAAGGAAAGGAAGATAGAAGAAAGGAAAGGAAGATAGAAGGAATGGAAGGAAAAGAAAAGAAAGGAAGATAGAAAGGGAGAGAGGGAGGGAAGAAAGGAAGGGGAAAGATGGAAGAAAGGAAAGGAAAGATGGAAAGGAAAGGAAGATAGAATAAAGGAAAGGAAAGGAAGTGGGAAGGGAAGGAAAGGAAAAGAAAGGAAGATAGAAGAAAGGGAAGGGAAAGGGAGAGAGGAAGGGAGGGAGGAAAGAAAGAAAGGGGAAAGGTGAAAGAAGGAAAGAAGAAAAGGAAAGGAAGATAGAAGAAAGAAAGATAGAAGAAAGGAAAGGAAAAGAGAAGTGAGGGGAAGGGGAAGGACCTTTGTTCAATGCTGTTGTGAGTTTGAATGGTCGCTAAATGGGTGGCTATAAGTCGAGCTCTATCTGTGTGAGAAAAGGCCCTGGGAATAATTCTCACCCTTCATCGTGGTCCTTTCAAGGTGCCTCCGAGTGAGGCTGACCCTCTCTGCACCTTCCACCTCCTTTTTTTTTTCATTCTTCCTTCCTGCACAGCAACTGTGGGAGCTGACCCGGAAACAGGGAGCCCCCCCTGTGGCCCAGCTGGAGAGCAACCACACCCACCTGGGGGTTCAGCTTGCCGAACGTCAAGCCCATGTGCGCCGCCTGCAAGCCGAGCTGTGAGTTATGGGGATGAGGAAGGGAGGGGAGATGCTCTGAGGATGTGGAGGGTTTCAGAAGTCACTGCAATATTCCCCTCCCTCCTTCTCTTCCTCCCTCCATCCCTTCCTTCCCCACACACATTCCTTTCTTTCTTTTTTCTTTCTTCCTTCTTTCCTTTTTCTCACACAAATTCCCTTCCTCCCTTCCCTCCCTCCTTCCCTTCCAATTTCTCATACAAATTTCCTTCCTTCCTCACACAAATTCCTTCCTTTCTTTTCTTTTTTATTTCTTTCTTCCTTCTTTCCTTTTTCTCACACAAATTCCCTTCCTCCCTTCCCTTCCTCCCTCCCGCTCTTCCTCCCTCCCTCCCTTCCAATTTCTCATACAAATTTCCTTCCTTCCTTCCTCACACAAATTCCTCTTTCTTTCTTTCTTTCTTTCTTTCTTTCTCTTTCTTTCTCTTTCTTTATTTTTTCCTTCTTTCCTTTTTCTCACACATTCCCTTCTTCCCTCCCTCCCGCTCTTCCTCCCTCCCTTCCAATTTCTCACACAAATTTCCTTCCTTCCTTCCTCCCACAAATTCCTCTTTCTTTCTTTCTTTCTTTCTTTCTCTTTCTTTCTCTTTCTTTATTTTTTCCTTCTTTCCTTTTTCTCACACATTCCCTTCTTCCCTCCCTCCCGCTCTTCCTCCCTCCCTTCCAATTTCTCACACAAATTTCCTTCCTTCCTTCGTCACACAAATTCCTTTCTTTCTTTTCTTTTTTCTTTCTTTCTTCCTTCCTTTCCTTTTTCTCATACAAATGTTCTTCCTTCCTCACACAAATTCCTTTCTTTCTTTCTGTCTGTCTTTCTTTCTTTTTTCCTTCTTTCCTTTTTCTCACACATTCCCTTCTTCCCTCCCTCCCGCTCTTCCTCCCTCCCTTCCAATTTCTCACACAAATTTCCTTCCTTCCTTCGTCACACAAATTCCTTTCTTTCTTTTCTTTTTTCTTTCTTTCTTC